GTTATACCACCCGCTGCCATCTGGTCGGATCCATACCCAGAGGGGGATATATCCGATTCTGAATCGGCAAAAAATAATCAACGCTCGATTGAAAGGGCAAAGGGCCAATTGGATTTCCTCGGAGCATCCCATCGACAATGCTACGCCAAGGGAAACATAGGGATTCCCAATAAGATAAACACACTATGCAACCAGTTTGTCGCGATTACGGATCTCCCTTTAAATAACCCATAAATCACCTGGTTTCACCCCGAGGATACGCACGTCAAGGATGAAGAAGACATCCACCAAACATGCGTCACACTCATAGAAAAAATAAATAATGTCCAATACCGAACGGGATGGAATCCATGTTTTGCACCAACCCCCAAACAAAAAATACCAGAATCCATTTCATACACGGACTCATCCACCCCCATCATAAACTCACCACATTTCATTTCACAGGGATATGACTCGTGAAATATCCCCAAAAAGAATGTCTGACAAATAACTTAGAGTTTTCGATTGCCAATACTTTTCCATTTATATTGATTTGTTTGTTTCTAAATATAGATTTTTACTTTGGTTTTGAAACTTCAGTTTCCTCCTCCACACCCTGAAAGGAAACGAATTTTTCACACAAGAGTTTTGGATTGGGGTTGGGATTTGGGTTGTGGTGGGGTTTTTCGAGAGGGTATAAATTTTTGGAATCGACAATAAATTTTTATTTTTTGCTTTTAACCTTGACCCTGGCCTAAAACCAAGCAATTTTGAAAAATTGACCTATATATAGGATAGGGGAATCATAAGGAGAAAGGTTTCATAAAAGGTTTAGCGACCATTTAACAGCGGATGGGGGCCTAAGTTTTCAGCTGAACCCATTATGGAAAAATGACTACACATTTGAAATTGAATACTCGTCTAAAATTTAGTCAAACACTATCAGATATAATACCAAACCCATTATTTTTTGTTAATTTTCGGAACCTCAAATATGACGAATTGGCCATTTCTAGAAACCCCAAATTTGACAGAAATACAAAAAAAGTAGATATTTATCATTAA